TTGTGGGTGATTCTACACTCCAATATATCCAACCGCCACTTATTGTAAATAGGCCCTGGTTCCCCCAATTTTTTTTTTTTAAGTTGAAATTTATCATTACTTAATCATTTTTATTTCGCCGTTCTATTTGCTCAAATTGTAAAAAGTACAGACTCGATCCCCTCGGTCTTCACCACGTTTGTTTTTTTAGAAGAAGATATTTTATTTGGCTCGAGTGATTACTTGACTACCATCAGCGCCGCTTTTCTCTCTTCAGTTGATTATCCAGTTCGGGAAATTGAGGCAAGATTTTATTTTGAACATTTTTGGTTATGATTATGTGGAGATCGTGAGATGCCGTCTGGTGTGACGTAGGTTTTAGAAAAAACATTTTCTTTATCGTGCCAACGTTTCGATCTTTATTGAGATCATCTTCAGGGCTCAAAGTGTTTTCAAAGTGAGAGTCAACACGACGCACAATAATCACACATCTACTCAGAAAACAAACACTTTGAGCCCTGAAGATGATCTCAATAAAGATCGAAACTCATTAGAGTTCGTGGTCCGATACCTTTTTTCAATTAATTAATCTTTAAGTATGTATTGGTTGAGATAAAAAAGTCAGTGTCACGAGCGGGATTCGAACCCACGAACATCGGCTCGATACCTCAATTCGCCGCTGCTCAAACCTCTTGAGCTATCGTGACATCGATCCTGTCGGACACCAACTCTCCATCAGCCGAGGATCGTGGGTTCGAATCCCGCTCGAGACACTGACTATTTTATTTCAACCAATACCTCACATAAAGATTAATTAATTGAAAAAAGATCGAAACCTTGGCACGGCAAAGAAAATTTTTTTTCTAAAATCTACGTCACACCAGAGCGCATCTCACGATCTCCAAATAATTATTAACTAATGGTCACTAAGCAAATTTTTTGGTTATGTCATTACCGGATCTATTAATTAATCAAATTAGACAAGGATATACATTTACGTACATTGTATACATATTATGTATTTGTTTGTAAATTTTTTTTCTTTATTTAATTTTGTTTTAAGGAAGAATTCTCTACACTGAGTGTCTGCATTGTTCTTTTGTATTATCAACGATATGATCGAGTTTTATTTGTTTCATTTTGATTCGTATTTTTTTATACAATGAGAAAAACCTTATAAATGTGATGAAATGATATATTTTCTGAATTTAGATGTCTTATTTTCTACAACATGAGCCCCGGTAGGAGGTTCCAATTGTTCGAAAGAAGCAAGATCATAAACTTTGGAAGTTTTCAATATAAGATAATCCAGCACGTCATTATAAAATCAACCATGTAAATGTATCATTTTACCGCATTTTTATGTAGATTGCAATAAAGCTATAATAAAAGCTATCAAAGTTTATCAATAACGAAAAAATTATAAAAAATTTCAAGTAAACTAGATCATAATTTTTTTTTTACTAAAACCTAATATGAAATTTCGTTTTAGCACCTCGAGAAACCCCTAAATATAAATTTTTGTTTGAATATACATTTAGCGATTTTTTGATCCCTAAAAAATTAAGATGGTATGGGCATGTATGACAATATCCCAAGCTAGATATTGGGGGAGATTAAGGGAGTGGGTTCAAAAAGAAGGAAAAGAAGTCGACCAGGGTGAACACGGAAGGTTGAACAGAAGAAGCAATGGCACCGAAAGGACTTAAGAAAAACAGCAAATTATGGCTGGATTAACGTGATGGAGGAAAAACCGTATAAATATGTAAAAAATATTGCTTTGGTCCAAATCTCAAATATTTTCCATACTTTAATATTTAATCAATTAATTTTAAGTAACATTTTGTTTACTGTATTAAGATTAGTCTTTATTATGTAATCTGGGGAGGCAGGATATAACGTGAAATTTTCGACCTTGCGTCGTCATGCTGCAGTGGGACCTTTAACATCCCAAAAGCTGGTTATTTTTCAATTTTCAGCCAGTACAGCACGAACAGTCTCAAATTATGCTGAACCTTATGGAGAAGCTTTATTTTCTGTATGGTGTTATGCTGTTTGCAATATCAAATCTTGGTGTGAACACGACGTGTAACCTGCTCTCGAATTCATTACGATGCTTCTGCAACTCTTGAACTCGCGTCAACTAATATAATCTTATTTACATCTCCCATTACTTTTAGTATATAAGAATATTTTGACTTATCACCGATAGTCTGCTTATAAATAAAATGTGTTTAGCAGCTTACTCGGTGACAGGTTTTTTCCCTTCAATGATACTGTTTATCGCAGTAACGAAATAACGGAAAACGCATACAGTAAATCTTTTTTATAGTCCTGTTTACGTGGCGAGTCTTTTTATGCGACCGTATTCATACGAATGGCCGGCTTTGGAGCAGGGTGAGCGAGGGCTCGAGTTGTGAATCTTAGGCAGTTCTTCCGCCACTGGCTAATGTACCAGTATAAAAAATGTAAAACAATGGAACGAAACATCTTGCTTATTTTGCCTTATTCCGACTTTGCTTAAGGGAATGCAGTCACGATAGAGACGTCAGTCTAAAAAATTTATAACTGTTTGCGACGTAATCCATTGAGAACTGATTTATAAAATGTGTCGTAAATAAAACGATGCTGATACTCTGACATTTCGTACTGAAAATAAACATAAAGTTTCACTAGAAAAAGCCATAGTGTTGTTTATAAACAGACTACTATTTTGACCTAATTCTAGGCAAAACCGCGAGATAGATAAATTGATGGAGAGAGAGAGAGAGAGAGAGAGAGAGAGAGAGAGTGAGAGAGAGTGAGAGAGAGAGAGAGTGAGAGAGAAAGAGAGAGAGAGACAGAGAGAGAGACAGACAGACAGCAGGCAGGCAGAGAGGGAGAGAGAAGAAATTAGGGAAAAGGGAAAACTGCAGGTCAAGGACGTACCTTTGGTGGGGCAGTGATGGAATATAAAGAATTCTGAAGTTATGACAAGGCATCTCATGTAACCAACCTGGAAACAGATTTACCTAAAATGTTCAGATTCTGGATGTAACCATATGGTCTAATTTGTAAGACAGTAGTGAAACGTAGATAATGAAACAATGGCCTGGCATCCCATGAAACAGAGACATCGAATCACCTAAATTGTCCAGATCCTGGATGTACCCTTAAGATATGGCTTAATCATGACGGGACACTGTTGAGTATGTTGGCTTTGCATAAAGAAGAAACTGCTTATATTTTTCATAAGCACATTTATGCGAACCGGCAAAATCTAGGTGAGAAAAACTTTTAGATATTGCCCAAAACAAGCCAAGCAAGATCTCAAGATAAAATTCATAAAATTTTTTTTTTTTGTCGTAGATATTTGGTTGCATGTATCTGAATATTGTTTTTTATTATTAGGAACGAACAAAATTATTTAAGTATACAAAATATTTAAATTAATTTAATTATCCCTCTCCTGACACTAACATTTTCATCTCAACCAAGACCTTATATAAAAAGAATAATTAATTGAAAGAATTAATATGGTCAATTGGACTACTAAACATACATGGATTACAAGTGGCACACACAATTACAAGTGGCTAAGTAAGCTAACTTATTTTTCCATTTGATAACAATATATCTTTCTTTTATACAAAATCTTTGGCCAGAAAGTTATGGGATTATGGGATTCTTATTTTCTATTACACAATTAATGATATAGTCACTATTGCTATTTATTATTATTCAGAAATCGTGAAATGCGGTCTGGTGTGATGTAGGTTTCAGAAAAACATTTTCTTTATCGTGCCAACGTTTCGATCTTTATTGAGATCATCTTCAGTGCTCAAAGTGTTTGTCTTCTGAGTAATTGTGCCATTCTTGCGTGTTATGTTGAGAGTGCCAACGTTGGCACGATAGAGAAAATGTTTTTCTGAAACCTACATCACACCAGACCGCATCTCACGATTTCTGAATAATTATCGATTAACGGTCACTAATCACCACACATTGCTATTTATGTTTAATTCGTTGCTATGTGAATATTGGTATTTGATGTTAACTGTAAGCATTCTTCTTATTTTTTTTTATTCTCAAAAATATATTGGTAGGCAAGTTTATTTTATTTATGACTTTTATGTTACATTTATGTTTTTCAACCCTTGCATTAAACTAATGATTTTCAGGCTTTATTCGACCAAAGTTTAATCTTTTAGCTGTTGATTGCCTAATTAAATGAGTCTGAAGGTACTTTTTAATGTCGTAAGGCGGGACTTATTTCCCAAAAATCTCAGAGAGGGCGTGGCTAAATTGGCGGACAAGTCCTGGGTGTGGTCAAGGTTTTTTTAGAACACATGTTGATTTTGATTTTGACTTCTGATAATAAGTTATAATTCAACTTGTGTTTTTTAAACCTGGATCATACACGTAGCGAAGTTATAAGATAATATTACGGTAAATTGTGTATTTTAATATGAATATCTTTGTGCTTAAAACCAAACAACCTTTTTTTTAATAATAATTTTGACTTTTTCCAAAAGGCCTGTTTTATTTTAATTCATTTTTATTATGTGAAAATGAGCCTGATGGTCCTTTTTCTATGTCCTTAGGCGGGTCCTTTCGGACAAAAACGGACAAGAGGGCGTGGCTTATGTAGCCCTCTGGGTGGCATGGTCAAGGTTGTCATTTATATACAATTTTTAATTTCACTTGTGATAACAAATCATAACTCAACTTGTGTTCGCTAGGAATGGTTACATTTTGTAATGTTTAATTAAGGGTAAAAGTTGGGGATTGCAGTAGCCGATTAGATAGTTAGCGGTTGTGGGTTCAATTCCTGTCTCTTGGAATTTTAAGTGACAATAATATGAAATAAGTGTTGGAAAACCCGACACCAATCGAGTAGTTAGGCATCCATCTCTTCCGTATAAGAGGCATTACTTTATTTCACTTACTTCAACTTGGTATATAGCAGATGTACAGGACTGTTCTTTGATTGAAAGGTAAATAACAATTTTCAATATTGATTACGAGTTTGTCAATGGTACCTGTTGATTGTGTCTTGCAACGAGGCGAGCCTTGCGTTGGTCCTGTCGGCCTGATGGGATATTTCAAGGAGCCTGCTTTCCGCCTCTTCCCTCGCCCCACGCTCCACTTCGACATCCCGAGCCAGTGACTCCCGCTGAAAAAAAAAGAGGAAACAATAAACAAATTAACTCACAAATATTATGGAATTGAAAAGAACAGGGGGAAGGGAGACACAGGGCTAATGGCTACTGGCGACGGATGTTGAACACGTGCAGGTTCTTGGGACGAGACACCGGCAGCCTGCACTTCCTCCCTTGTGAATAGTTCAGATTTCGACATTAGATCCTTAATCCTCCAGTTCGTTTTTAAAAATAAAACACGGAAAAATAGTAAGATTAACAGGTCAGATAAACAGAAATTAAATTCATGGAGGAAAACAGCAGGCCTAAATATTTGTTAGGTCATATAAAATATAACAAATACATAACTTATGTGAAAAAAAGCTTCAACAAAAAAAATGGAGTAGGCAAAACAAAACTGGAGATAAAATATTTATGAAAAGGTTAAGTTTTAGCTGAAAGGTTCAGGATTTGCGAAATGGTTCTTACTTTTTATCTGACTATCAGGTTCTTTTTATCTCAGTGCAAAACTGCAGTTTAACCTTATTATTTTGGTGTTAAAGTTGCAAGGAAAAATTAAATGATGCTTGAAATTAAGTTTTAGATTACGGAGAAAACCTTCTTGCTGACCTTATTGTTTGAAGAAGTGACTGCTCATCATTAGACTTGCTTTTCATTCAAATCAAGATATTACAAATCTTTAGATTAGACTGGAGAAAGCTACAGATATATAAGATCAGATTGTTCAAAAATCAATGATCCCATGACTGAAATATAAGTTTAAAGCATTGTATCGACTGAAACCTATCGACTTTTTTATGACTAAGCATAATAATTCTTGTAGAGAATAAAATACGATGTCATGCTGTACAGTTTTCGTATAATTATTCACGGGGATTGACAAATTGTTAGTACTGTGTTTTATGAAGGTTCTTTTGTTGGGAGGGTCGGGGTTGCCATTAGAAAAGAATACTGACTCATAAGTTAGTCGATATGTGTGTTACGTAGCAACCTACTTTCGTGTTTCCATAATGATTTTCGAAGTCGGATGAGTCGGAGATAAAAGATGCTTATTCTTGTAAAAGGATTTTGGAAAATGATTTTTGGAAGGTCTTGGCCGTTCGGCTCCTGCGGTGGTCACGTGGTGCCGAGTCAAGTTTGAAAAATTACTAACCTTGTTTGCTTGCAGATTTAATGTTTTAATCCGAAGGAATCGATTACGAACGCGTATCGACCTGTAGGGGGACGCTCTTTGCCTTGAAATTTTAATGAATCTGATAATTATCACAGATGTTGATTTATTTTTGTCACCATACCACAGGAACTATAAGATTAACAAGACTAGCGATTGAGTAATAAATTTATCCTTGTCTATGATCAATTCTGGAATAGGACACGATCAGGTAGTCAAACGGACAAGGGTTCGGAGAGTGACGGGCGTCGATGGAGTTTGAAGAGTGTCTAATCAATATGAACGGTCCAGACCTTCAATGAACAATGAATCCCCATACCGGCGTTGTCCCCAGCCAAAGTGCTAAATTAGCACTCCGGTTCGAACAATCAATAAACATTTACCCATAACTGTCCTAATTGCTGACTTGGAATTTACAGGCCACCGAAAATTAGTCGAACAGAACGAGATAATTGCCGCTACTTTCTAACGTTTTTACTGCTTCTTTTGCAATATGTTTCATAAACTAGGCCCGAGCCTCGAACACAAAATATCAATTGCACACATGCATGTATGGAAGCGTGAGGGAGAAAGAAAAAAGAGAGAGAGAGAGAGAGAGAGAGAAAAAAAAGGAGAGAGAGAGAGAAAGGAAAGAAAGAGAGAGAGAGAGAGAGAGAGAGAGAGAGAGAGAGTGAGTGAGTGAGTGAGTGAGTGAGTGAGAGAGAGAGAGAGAGAGAGAGAGAGATAGAGATTGAGAGAGAGATAGATAGAAATATAGGGAGAGAGAGAGAAAGAGAGAGAGAGAGAGAGAGAGAGAGAGAGAGAGAGTGAGTGAGTGAGTGAGTGAGTGAGTGAGAGAGAGTGAGAGAGAAGGGACAAATGTGGGAGAGTGTGGCGACAGAAACAGAGTGTCTCAAGGTGGAGGAGAAGTGGAGAGAGAGAGAGAGAGAGAGAGAAAGAAATGAAGAAGAAAAGCGAGAGTGCGGGTGAAAGTGAAAGAGGGGTGAGAGGAGAGAAAGTGAAAGAGGAAGAATGAGAGAGTGAAAAGGGAGGTACATATAGTGAGTGAGTGAGTGTGAGTGTGAGTGTGAGTGAGAGTGAGAGAGAGAGAGAGAGGAAATGAGATAGTGTGTGAGAGAAAGAAAAAGAGATTGAGAGGAAAGAAAGGAAGAGGAAGCGGTGAGAATGAAAGAGGGAAAAGAATGTAAGAATGAATGAATGAGTGAGATAGTGAGAAGTGAGAGAATGCGAGGAGAGAGAGAAAAAAGGAGAGTGAGAAGAAAGAAAGGGAAAGAAAGGGTGAGGATGAAAGAAGGTGAGAGTGTGAGGGAGAGAGAAGGATAGAGGAAGGAGAGAGTGCGTGAAATTGTAAGAAGTGAGAGAATAATAGGAATTGAGAGAATAATAATAAATAAGGCGCGAGAAAGAGAGGAAAAGAGTGAACGGAAAGAATGAGAAAGAAAGGGAGAGGAAGTGGTGAGAATGAAAGAGGGCGTGAGGAAGAGAAAGAGAGAGAGAGAGAGAGAATGAGAGATAGATAGATAGATAGATAGAGAGAGAGAGAGAGAGAGAGAGAGAGTGAGAGAGAGGGAGTGGGAGGGGGAGAATGATAGAGGAATGCGTGAGACGAAAGCAGTGAAGGAGTAAGAGGAATTGGTGAGAGAGGGAGAATTTGGTCGAGTGTGAGAGGGAGAGAGAGAAAGCGATTGAGAGGAAATAAAGTGAAAGAAAGGGAGAGGAAGTGGTGAGAGAGGGAGTCAGATAGTGAGAGGGAGAGAAAAAGAGATGGAGCGGAAAAAAGAAAAAGAAAGGAAGAGGAAGTGGTGAGAATGAAAGAGGTCGTGAGAGAAAGAGAATGATAAAGGAATGTGTGAGACGAAAGCAGTGAAGGAGTGAGAAGAATTGGTGAGAGAGGGAGAGTTTGGTAGTGTGTGAGAGGGAGAGAGAGAAAGCGATTGAGAAGAAATAATGTGAAAGAAAGGGAGAGGAAGCGATGAGAATGAAGGAAGGCGTGAGAGAGAAGGAGAAGGAAAGAATGAAAGAAAGAGAGAGAGAATAGAAATTAATGATTTCTTGATCTAATTATCGCCAAAAGTTTAATAATTAGTTTGACATGATTGCATTTATCTGCGATCTGTAAACGTTGAAGCGACTTTTTTAAAAATTAAAACCTCTTATTATGTCCAATGATCGAAAAAGAAAGCAGAATTTTTAGGGTCTGACAGTTGGACAAAGAAGACTCTTACTTTCGAGCTCAGGGATTAAAACGGCCACGTACACAGTTTCTACATGGAGTACGTGCAACTCCACCACAATTCCTCGGCGCGCTTATGTTACTACGCTTAATTGGACACTTGATTTTTCTTCATCCTTTGAACGAAGACGATAGAAAAAAAAGTCGGCAAGTCTCATAAACGTTTGTGCAATCACGATTGAAACATAGCCGGTGGCGAAATGCAGAAGACAGACAGCCTTGAGCCGGAAACGCTTCAAAGAAGCCTTGAATCCAATAGCCATAGATAATCCCGGTCCGGGATAATCGACCGGTATAAAGAAAGTTCCATTGAGCTTCTCAACAGTCACGAACCGATGATATTCTTCCGATCCATTGAGAAAAAATATGAATCTAATAGCAATTCTACTCAAGGAGTTACATCTGAAAATTATGTCCGTTACAACTAGGTCAAACCCATAAGGCACAGGTGCCTGGCAGTTACAGGATAATAAGGCCGTCCTTAAAGAAAGCATGTAGGCTGGCAAAAAGTTCCTCATAATATTTAAAAAAATACCCTACCTAAAGCCTATTTATTCGCCGAGAAAACATTAGTAATAAAGGTTAAAATTTCGATATTTGAAACACCTTTAACATAATCTTTATTCCAATTAATGCATGTATGTGTGTGGTGTTTAGTGATCGTTAGTTAATGATTATTTGGACATCGTGAGATGCGGCTGGTGTGACGAAGGTTTTAGAAAAACAATTTCTTTATCGTGCCAACATTTCGATCTTTATTGAGATCATCTTCAGGATTCAAAGTGTTTGTTTTGTGTAGATGTGTCATTATTGGGTGTCGTTGAGATTAGCATTCTCACTTTGAAAACACTTTGAGCCCTGAAGATGATCTCAATAAAGATCAAAACGTTGGCACGATAAAGAAAATGTTTTTCTAAAACCTACGTCACATCAGACCGCATCTCACGATTTCCAAATAATCAATTCCAATTAATTATTCTTTTCATCTACTGCTTTTGGTTGAGCTGAAAAATTAGTGTCCCGAGGGGGATTCGAACCCATAAGTCACTTTAAGAGGTAACAGAAAGAAATAAGAAAGGATGTAGGTTGAGATGGGGAGTTGGTGTCCGAGGGGATCGAAGTCACTATAGCTCAAAAGGTTAGGGCAGCTGCTTATTGAGCCGGAGGTCGTGGGTTCGAATCCCGCTCGTGACACTAATTTTTCATCTCAACCAAAAACCTTAGATAAGAATAATTAATATGAATAATTGGTACGGTCGATTATGACCACTAAGGAAATATGGAATAATCTTTAATTTTGTACAAAAAATATTAGGAAAAGTAGAAATAATTGTTGTAAAAGGAGATTTAAACGAACTGGATTATGATACGAATCCATGAATAGAAAAAAAAGAGAAATTGAAATCAAAATCGGCTCAATAAAACCCGGAGTAGCTTGCATGAATTGTAATGAGCTGGACGCAACGAAACCCTTCTCAAAAGCAACAAACCAACCTAAAACTGACAAAACGCGATTGTCATAGTACCAGATTAATAAACAGATTTTATTTAAACTTCAGTTTTTGTCAAGGAATGTTTATCAGTTATAAATATTTAATAGATGATCCCCC